TAACATCATAGCAGAAGTTGGAGTAATAGTTATCCTTTGTTCATCATCATGTCATTCTGACCCTGTATTATTTATTTCTTCCGTGAATCACAAAAATATAACATTATCAAAATGTCCAAGCTGCACGTTTGCACATGAATGAAAGTGGTTGTTGATTTACACAACCAAGCTCTAAAACTGACAAAAAAAAAAAATGATATATGGCTTATTTGTTCTAACCAAAAAAGCAACTGCAAATGATTTGTATAGTGCTTTTGGTCCTTTCCAATTCATCATCCATTTTCAGTAATTTGCAGTTTTATGTTTTAAGCACAGATGGCGATAGAGAGGTCAAGGTTCTTCAGATGTTCTTCAAGTGCAGGTCGTTAAGTGCAGGTTTAAGGAATAACATCATAGCAGAAGTTGGAGTAATAGTTATCCTTTGTTCATCATCATGTCATTCTGACCCTGTATTATTTATTTCTTCCGTGAATCACAAAAATATAACATTATCAAAATGTCCAAGCTGCACGTTTGCACATGAATGAAAGTGGTTGTTGATTTACACAACCAAGCTCTAAAACTGACAAAAAAAGACCACAAAAGTAAGTTTTCATATATGGCTTGAATGTTATACAGTATTATAAGTCTTTTGAAGCTTTGTATGAGGACCAAACTCAAATATGAGTTCAATTCAAAAATAGTTGGCTACCATCATTTTCGACAAACACAATATCAGTTCCTGCATGTCACATGACCAAAACTTCAAATGACTTGTATAGTGCTTTTGGTCCTTTCCATTTCATCATCCATTTTCACTGTATTGCAAACACAAGTTCAAGTTCGTTTTTGGATGAACTTATCATCTAAATGTGTAACAAAAGCCAATGCATGTTTCTTTGAGCTACAGAGTTTTTTGACATGTGTGAAGTGTTGCCTAAGGATTTACGTCAGAAAAATCAATGGGTACAAAGGCCCAAACATTCTCTGACTCTCAGACACACACAAACAAAACAATGCTCATGGTTTTTGTCCAGAGAGTTAGTAATCAAACATTTAACAATAAAGATTCACCCTGACTCAGCTTCAATTAAGATTCAGGACCCTGTATATATTCTATACAGATCTTGCAACGATAAAATAGAGTGTGTGTGTGATGCAAGGACATTTGGGCCAAACAGCTGGAGTCCTGGTGTAGACGCCTCAGAGTTCCTGTCCAGCTGAGCAGAGGGTGGAGAAGACTTTACATCTCTCTGACACACACAAACAAACCAGCTCTATAACACTCTTAGACAAACAAACATAGAGGGCGCAGGATATCATCCAAGAAAATACAAGTGAAGACTGATCTGATACTTTTCAAGGGTTAGACTTGAGCCCTTCTTTCTCTCACTGTCTTTTATGTCTTTCACTGCCTGTCTCTGTATATATATCACTCACTCCATCTGGCCACATGATTTGAATTAAGTTCAGACTGACTACCTCTCATCAAATAAGGCTGGATGGCCATTCGATGGAAAAGCTGACACATTGAGTGACTGTGTAAATAAAAGACTGTTTGTGTGTGTTTGTGAGCGTGGCTGGACGGAATGTGTGAACAAGTGTGTGAATATTAATAAGAGAATATTTGGGTTTTGGAAACGGTGGAAAATGTGCAGAAAAAATTGTTAGCGGACTCAAAACGAGATGGTCTGCTAGAATACATTCGTCTACACAACCAAACTGAATTGAGTGTGTGTGTGTGTGTGTGGGGGGTGGGGGTATGGGGGGGTGAATTGTACTTTTTTTCTGTTAAAAATTAAGATTGTGACTAAAAATGTGATTTTAAAAAAGGTGCAGATTTATTGTGCTTGTTTGTAGGGCTAATAATAAATTATTATTATTATTATTAAATAAAATTGACCAAAGAAATATTGTTATTGCAAAGAATGTGATATTTATATTTTAAATAAAAATATTTTATGAATACTATATCTTTTTTTTTAAATATATATTATATATTAATTTTACAATATAACTGTAAACAATAATATTTTTGGAAGTCTATGGATGCCATATCACGATTTTGGTTTTATTTTGATTAATCATGTAACCCTACTCATTTGAATAAGACAAAACATATAAAATATATCAAAACTAAATTTTTGATGAGTAATATGCATTGCTAAGAACTTCATTTGGACAACTTTAAAGGCGATTTTCTCAGTATTTAGTTTTTTTTTGCACCCTCAGATTCCGTATTTTCAAATAGTTGTATCTCGGCCAAATATTGTCCTATCCTAACAAACCATACATCAATGGAAAGCTTATTTGTTCATCTTTTCATTTTTCTCACCCTTATGACTGGTTTTGTTGTCCAGGGTCACATATAGTAAACAATAGGTGCATAGGTTCATGCCTAAATCATTCTGGTATGTAATTTTAATAAAGCAATCGAGTCCTAATGGTTGAAATTAGTCCCATCCTACATTTAGTCCCAGTTCACATTGAAATACATTACATGACTCAAGTTCAATCATGAATGATACACAAATTCCCCCTCTATGTCAACCAGTGGTTTCATGTCCTGATCCACAGAAATAGAAGGACTGTGTGAACTCTTCTCTGGTGTGTATAGTGGTATATAAGTGACTCCAAAACACTGGCCTGTGTACACATCACAGCCCTTGGTAGACAGTCAAATTCAGAGTGAGTGAATAGAAGTTCAAGTGGAGGATAACCACAGAGACATTACAGAAAACTAACCTCTTGTGTCTCCCGCGGTCTCACTGATAGGGCAGCATAGCAAAAACATTAACCATCAAACAGACGGTGTTTTTGTTTTTGTTTGGTGTCTAGTGGTTTACCACAGTTTGGTGGGATTAACTTGATTAATGACACAAATATTCTCTGCAGAGTTTGTCATAGTCCTGCAACGTAGCATTTCTCACCATTATCTTGACCAGATTATTTTGAAATGATTTAAGCACATCCATTCCTGTCAAACAAATATGAATCTGTCTTTTCAAAAATACCCTGGTTTTATTCTGGATCTATCTGGATGTATAGGAAAGACAAATCAGCACTAACAAAAGGAGAATAATACAAGCAGAAGCTATAAAAAGTAAAAGTCCCTCAAAATCTCACGTCTCCTCTAGAGTTTTAGAAGAGATTCTCAACAATGCCTCAAAGTGTGCTTTATTTTGCCAAGATACTAATGCTGCAATCAAAAGTCATAAATTCTTCTTCTTCTAATGTTGAAATTCTTCTAAGACCAAATGATCTGAACTGTTCCATCCAACATTCACTTTATACAGTATATCAAATATTAGTGCATGTTAATAATAACCATTTGTGTCCAATTTTAAAGGGATAGTTTACTTCAAAATTAACATTCTGTCATCATTTACTTACCTATGTTGCTCCAAGCCTGCATGACTGTCTTTAAGAGTGTTGGTAATTAAACAGTTTCGCTGCCCATTGATACCTATCAATGTAAAAAAAAACACACACACACACACACACACACACACTGAAATCCAACTCAAAATATCTTCTTTTATGTTACACATAAGAAAGAAAGTAATGCAGGCTTGGACCGACATGAGTAAATGATGACAGAATTTTCACTTTTAAGTTAACTGTCGAGCAATTTGAGCAGAAACATCTACGAAAAGGTTGATATTTAAATGAAACACAGTCATAAACTCCATTAAGTCTCCAATAAGTTACTGTATGAAAGAGCAAACTCTGAGCGACAAAAATGTCCTTTGGGCATGCACATGGTCTCGATGTATGTGTGGATGTATAAGAACTTCCTCTTTCCCAAGTTCTCTTTGTCTTTGGGAATGTGCTGTACTGCTGGAATCAGAGGGGTTGGAGTGTGCTGTGGATCATGTAACAGAGCACATCTATCACTTAGCCTGTATTTGAGCAGGCTTCGCCTCTGAGCACATGGAGAGGGAAGGGCAGAGCGAGGGAAGGTGGGAGAGAGGAAAAGAGGGGGGTGGGAATGAACAGGAGCATCTTTGTAAATCACCCGGGCATTCCGTGCTGTGACATCCAACCCCTCACAATGGGGCTACTTTAAGACTCCAGGAGCGGAGCTTGGGGGACACGGAGGGGAAATGAGTTAGTACAACTCTACAATCCCACATCAAATTCACTGTCATGGCCTCAGCAGGGAGCCGCACAGCCCGGGCCTGGGCCCGAATGTCACCCCAAATTCACCCAAATCCTCTATTTTCACATACCATTAAAGGCAGTGACCTGTGACTCTATAAACTCATCTGATGTAAACCCACGTCCAGATCTCAGATGGTTGTAATGGAAACTTTATTAGAAAGTTCAAGACATGACATTTCCGACCATTTACTTCATCTTGACCCTCCTGTAACTATGAATTACCACATGCATTTTTTGGCAGATGGAGATTTCAAAAATGTCTGATTTTGACCTTGTAGAGTGACCTCGTATTCAGAGCTCATGTTAACCCACTGAATGATCCAAGACTAATAAATGCAATACCCGTGTTATAAAGAAACATTAGTCGAACTCTTTCCCAACCACCAGATTGTGTAAGTTACATGCTGATCAAGTTGGTTTCTGTGTCCTAACCTGAACCAAATCTTGTTATTCCTAGCTCATCTTTCTATGAAAATTACTTAAAGGGATAGATCACCCCAAAATGAATATTTATATATGAATATTCTATCATCATTTACTCACCTTCATGTCATTTCAAACCTCAGTGTTTTTTGTCCAGTGGGGGTCAATGTTGTTTTGGACCCCACTGAAGTTCAGTGTATGAACAAAAACAGTTGAAACATTTTCTAAAATATCTTATTTTGTGTTTAGAATATGAAAGTAAAATATAATATAATAATAGTCACAATCTCACTGTAACATGCCACCTTTGCACTACATTTCCCTACATCCTTCCCGGTCAACAGACACCTGCACTCATTCAGTCATCATCTGCACCTATCACTAATCTATCACCTCATCATCCTCCTCCCTGCATATAAGCCCGCACCTACATCTCTGGCTTCTGGTCTACGACTAGGACTACTCCTTGATTTGTGCAATCGACTTACCTGGGTAACTTAGATGTGTGATATTCTCCCTGTCTCCGAAACTCCGGTTTACTGCTCCAGTCTCCAGCTCCCCTTGATTTCGCCAGCATCTTGAAAGATAAGATAACTGTCTGTTATATCCAGCGACTGTGGAATATTAGTGTGTTTGGTGCTACTTTTCTTCATCCATGGACTATTCTACCTCACAAGCTCTGTTGTTGTTGCTTGTATATTCACCTAGTGCACAGATTGTTACAATAAACCATTGTGTGTTGTTTCAGCGTATTATCTGAGTCTGTGTTTCCTGATATATAATATAATATAATATAATATAATATAATATAATATAATAAATAATATTTTTATTAATGCATTAATATTTGTTTATGAAAAAATAGAAAAACAATGTGAATATCAGTCCTGTCTTTACTTTTTTCTAACATTGGTTAATGGTTAATCATATTTGGTTCGGATAACTCAAGCTTAATGTTAAAGTCAACATGCAAAAGGAAGAACTGACTATAAAATGCCAAGTTTAAATTCTGCATGAAGTGGAAATTGCATCCATCTTTTCTTCCCTATTTTGATATAAAACCATGTGAAACAGCATATCGATCACACACAAAAAACTATATAAATATATACTGTATATATATATATATATATATAGGGTGGAACTAGATTTTGTTCAGGAACTGATTCAATCCTTGTTGTCGTTTGATAGAAAAAGGGTCATTTTTTTAATTCTCTAAAATATCAGAGTTGTCAGCACCTCTGTAAAACAGTCTAATGTTGATGCTATTATTTCGGGTTCTGTCATTTTTTTTTTTTTTGAACTATCCATTGTGTTCATCAACAACAACAACAAAAAAATTCTATAGTGCACCTTTAAAAACACAGCCTCAGTCCTGGCAATTTTACTTGACTGGTTGAATGAGTTGAATGTCCAGAGGGCAGAGACACTCACAAACATGCCACTGGTGTTTGAAATGCTATGTTAACATTCAAAACTCCATCGTGACTGTTCTTTGGGGCAGAAAAATTCAAATCAATTTTATTTTAGTTTCTTCAGTGGCAGCTGGAGCCCAGAGTCAAATCCCAACACAACCGGAAGGCACGGCGCTTGACAGTGATGTGTGTTCGTATTGGTATATGTGTGCAGTATAATGTGTGGCCTTCAAAGCTCTTCTGACTGCTCAGAGGCAGCGAGAGACGGAGGGCAAAAAGAGAAAGACAGAAGAAGAAAATGAAGGAATAAATAGGATGGAGGGTGAGAGGAGGGAGAAGGATAGTTTTGGATTTTGAACACAGGTCTGTTTGAGTTTGATTAATAGGACTCTTTCTCCCTGTTTTTTGTATCCACAGTTTTAATTAAAGGGACCCCCTGGAGAGAGGGAACACTGCATACCCCGACAGATATGACTGCTGAGGAAAGAAAGGCAGATGGTTACAGAAATGTAAATATAACAGAGCTCACAAAGCAATATGCAAAGACACTTAGCCTGGCCAATTAATGAGCTATATATATATATATATACACACACACACAGTGGGTATAGAAAAGAACCAGCCCCTTTAAAATAATCACATTTTGTTGCTTTGCAGCCTGATTATTTTCTATATACCAACTAAATTCCTACTAAATATACCTACTAAGATGATATAATTATTTATTCACCCTCACAAGTAAATATGGAAAAGGGGTGTGTGATGATTGATCTTTTTAAAATGTCATGTCAGTGCTTTAAAGGTGACATATCATGAAAATCTGCATTTCCAGGTTTTAAGTGCTATAATCAGGTCCCCGGTGCATCTACCAACCAAGGAAACGTGAAAAAGATGAACCCAATCACTTTGTTTTGGTAAGCCTTTTTCTGCAAGCCTCTGAGAAAACGAGTGCGTCTGATTTCGCTTCCTTGGTGACGTGGTAAAGGGATCTCATTATAATATTACTGCCCCTTAATCTGTAAGTTTACACCCACAGTGCCATTACTGTGTTTTAGCAAGCGACAAAGGTGTACTCGTTTTAATGCAATGGCGAAAGTTTGAGCAAAACATGCTAACTGTTCTGTCTTTGGCTGCACAGACGAGCACAGAACACTATTTAGAGTCCCAGCCTCAGAGGAGACAACAGATCAGGGGATTTATTGATTTATTTAGGCTACTGTATATTGCTGCTGCCACACAGATCAAAAATAAACAAGCGATTTATTTCCCAGCTGTTTACCTTCACAGACATAACCGACTGTTTTTGTAACTCGTGTGTTTTTAACGTAAACTTGTGTGTGAATGAGAACTTAGTTTAGTACTCACATGCTGAACCAAAACAGATGTTTTTAGCAGGTATGAGCTGTATTGACGCAGCTCTATTCTGGAAAAGGGGGCGGGGAGCAGCAGGTCACAGGCCCGAAAAATAGCATGTTTCTGCATCCACTCAAAATAGGCATTTTCAAAATGATATAATAAATTATCTTTGGGGTATTTTGAGCTGAAACTTTACAGACACAGTCTGGGGACACCAGAGATTTATATTACATATTGTAAAAAGAGGCATAATATGTCTCCTTTAAATTACATCCAACCAGACAACACAGTCCATGTTTTACAAAACCGGACTAACAGATCTGAATAATGTGATTATAGCTCCGTTTCATCCAGCAAGTACGTTAATCAGACTGAACCTGTCCTCTTTGTTGTACACATGCTCTGGAAGTGATGAGAAATTGTATTTAATCCTTCAAATAGTCAATAATGCACTGTATAATGTATAGCTTGGACTGACAGATGAAGACTGTAGCTTGATGTAAATAGTGATTATGAACAGCAACTAGGCAACAAAAGGATCAGCATATTGAAAAAACAGACCATCTAACAAAAGTTTAGGAGGAACAAAAATTCCTATTTACAACACTAACAGTAATTAGCTTCTTGCCTCACACTTGTGACCAGGTATGAACTTCTTTGTGTTATTACATTACTGGCAAGACCATTAGTGCTGTGGAGAAGGATCAGCATCTGGGGTTATGGTCATGTGACCATGTTAACATCAGAAGCACCTTGTACAGTTCTCTGATACCAAACCACAGCAAAACCCCTCCTCACGCCAATCAAACCACATTTTGATGTAGCTTTGTCCTTTTTCTTCCTGGTTTTCTCTCCTGGATGCCTTATTTTTCTATTTAGGACCTTATTATTACCCTTCTCCTGCTCTAACGAGACGAGAAAATGCTTGCTTAGTACATGCTCCTTTGGGAGAGCAGAGCAGAAAAGAAAGAACATAATGAAAGAAGGAGTGATGGATAAGCGTAGGTGAAATAAGATAAAAACAGCTGAGGTGAAAACTCAGATTCACGGTGAATATGGGAGCTGTGAACTGCGCTCTATAAAACATATTTTTTTTATTTTGGAGACGAGATGTAAGAAAGTGAGGAATAGGCTGCACTACTCACACATTAATCATATCTCGCAAGCCTGATTATTTGGTTAGGACACTGTTTAGTAGGGCTGGGTATCGATTCAGATGTCCCGATTCGATTCGATTCTCTATTTTTTTTATTACATTCAGTGAATATAGTTTTAATACAAATGCTATTGATATTTCTAAAATATTAACAGTAAACATCAGTTTACAAATAGTGAATTAATAAAAAGAAATTAAGAACCACATGCCTGTATTTTAAACCTGTTCTATTTTTTTTTTGTATAGGGTCCTTTTTAAACAATAGTAGGGCCCTATAAAATTTTCCTGGTAATCAGATGAAGGCATAAAACATTAATTTAATTTATAATCAAATGAAAACTACACCCTTTTATTTTTTTTTGGCGAACAAAGTGCTGCACAACAGAGGTTTACTGTTAAAAATAAAATATTTTTAAATATTTTAAAATAAACATTATATAAAAATAAAACAGATGTGATTATTCCTTTAAAAATAAAGATTTATTAATATTTATTAGCAGTAGAAGCAGCCTACTGAACCATATTTCAAAAACTTACAAAGATGTCAATTCCATCATAAGCGATTCACGTTTCAAAGGATCTTTCCCTTTATGACCACAACATTAATCACTGGTGGCCTGGCTGAGGGTCAGGACCACAAAATTGTAAGAACAAGCAAGCAGACAAGGATTTTTTTTTTTTGGCGAACAAAGTGCTGCACAACAGAGGTTTACTGTTAAAATTAAAAATAAAACAGATGTGATTATTCCTTTAAAAATAAAGATTTATTAATATTTATTAGCAGTAGAAGCAGCCTACTGAACCATATTTCAAAAACTTACAAAGATGTCAATTCCATCATAAGCGATTCACGTTTCAAAGGATCTTTCCCTTTATGACCACAACATTAATCACTGGTGGCCTGGCTGAGGGTCAGGACCACAAAATTGTAAGAACAAGCAAGCAGACAAGGAACTTCTGATTCAGATTTTCATAACCCAGATTTCTAAATTGTACTAGCTTATATAGAAACTTATATTTTAAACAAGAGGTCACACTGTGAGACATAAAGTTACAATCACAGGAAATAAAGTCACAAGCGCAAGATACTGGGCTGCTGGATACAGTCACATTGTGAAAAATAGAGTCACAAATACAAAAAAAACAAAGCTGCAATTGTGAAATATCATAACACTATTAGCTTCTTGCCTCACATTTTCAAATGATTATGTGTGAAGTGATGAAGGAAGTTATGTACTGTTTTGTTTTATTACTTAGGAAGTCTGGAAACCGGGTTATATTTATTACTGGCAAGACCATTAGTGCTGTGGAGAAGGATCAGTATCTGGGGTCATGGTCATGTGACCTTGTTAACTTCAGAAGCACCTTGTACAGTTCTCTGATACCAAACTGCTGTAAAACCCCTCCAGCTTTGGTGCAGCTTTGTCCTCTTTCTTCCTGGGTTTCTATCCTGGATGCCTTATTTTTCTATTTAGCACCTTATTATCATCTTCCTCTTGCTGACCAATCAGAACTGTGCCACAGTCTGGAATGAACCCACACCAAGCTGGTATCGTCTGGCCTCCTGACTGAGCCTGGTTTCTCCCAATGTTTTTCTCCATTTCTGTCACCGATAGAGTTTGGGTTCCTTGCCACTGTCGCCTTTGGCTTGCTTAGTTTGAGACGCTTGACTGATTGCACAGACACTATTGGAAGAGAACTGAACTGGATGATGATATCATTGAATCATCAATGAACTGACTTTAGCTGGAGAAAATGACTCTTTGTTATTGTCATCTTGCATTATTACCAAACTATTTTCCTGTTTGACACTGTAAAGCTGCTTTGGCACAATCGGTATTGTATAAAGCGCTATATAAATAAAGGTGACTTGACTTGCTCTAACAAGATGAGAAAATACTTACTGAATACATGCTCCTTTGGGAGAGCAGAGCAGAAAAGAAAGAACAGAATGAAAGAAGGAGTGATGGATAACTGTTTGAAAACGATTATGCCCTCATGCACCATTGACAACAAGGATCTCAGGTCTTCAGAGACAGGTGGTGTCCATATCCGTGACCAGCTGACGAAGTTAACATTAACCCATTGATGATAGTGCAACTTGCTGCAAATCTGGCACCCTGCTGCAAAGTGCATCTGTCTGACACACATTCTCACTCACTCACACACTTGCTACAGCTGGGTTTACACGCTTACTCTGCTTTGATGTTCAGGGCCTCTGCATCAGCGCTCCAAAAATAAATGCAAGAGCAGTTTGCCACTCTAGAGACACATATTCCAATGAGTCACCCTGTCAATCCCCAAAGAACACGGCACAGACGAGAGAAAAGGCAAAGAGCGCGGAGAACCTGAGCGACAACTGATGGAGGCATGCATGTATTTATATTTGCAAAATCCTTATGTGTTTATGGCCATGGTTTGATCCCATAAATGTAACTCACTGACTTAAAAATATTTGTCAAGGGTATATACAACTGACTTGCTATTGAAACTAATTTAAACATGCAATCTCAAATAAAAACAAGAATATACACTACCGTTAACAAGTTTGGGGTCAGTGAGATTTTTTTAAATGTTTTTGAAAGAAGTTTTTATGTTCACCAAGGCTGCATTTATTTGATAAAAAGTATAGTCTGGCACCCTGCTGCAAAGTGCATCTGGCTGACACACATTTTCACTCACTGACACACTTGCTACAGCTGGGTTTACATGCTTACTCTGCTTTGATGTTCAGGGCCTCTGCATCAGCGCTCCAAAAATAAATGCAAGAGCAGTTTTCCACTCTAGAGACACATATTCCAATGAGTCACCATGTCAATCCCCAAAGAACACGGCACAGACGAGAGAAAAGGCAAAGAGAGCAGAGAACCTGAGCGACAACTGATGGAGGCATGCATGTATTTATATTTGCAAAATCCTTATGTGTTTATGGCCATGGTTTGATCCCATAAATGTAACTCACTGACTTAAAAATATTTGTCAAGGGTATATACAACTGACTTGCTATTGAAACTAATTTAAACATGCAATCTCAAATAAAAACAAGAATATACACTACCGTTAACAAGTTTGGGGTCAGTGAGATTTTTTTAAATGTTTTTGAAAGAAGTTTTTATGTTCACCAAGGCTGCATTTATTTGATAAAAAGTATAGTAAAATTTTCTGAATTTTCAGCATCATTACTCCAGTCTTCAGTGTCACATGATCCTTCAGAAATCATTCTGATTTGGTGATTTGCTGCTCAAGAAACATTTCTTATTATCAATGTTAAGAACATATTTTGTGATAACCTTGTTGCATGTTTCAAGGATTCTTTGATGAATATAAAGTTTAAAAAACAGCATTTATTTGAAATAGAAATCTTTTGTAACAAATGTCTTTATAGTCAGTTTTGATAAAATAGAAGTACTCATTTCTTCTTTAATAGTGTTCCTGACCTTTAAAGAAGTGCAGCTGGACTGTGTTCTGAATCCAGAGGGGTTATTTAAATTTTTCGGGCTTTCTGCTCACATGGACCTCCTTTCTCTGCAAAAACACAGTGACTGAATTACAAACACATTACATAGTAAAGTATATAATTGTCTGTTCCAACACATGCACTCCTCTGTAAGAAACTCTGTTCAAACACAGACTGAGAATGACTGCAATGAAAGCTAAGGATATTATTGAAGGGGAAATGGTTGGCTAGATGCCTTTATTAAATATTAATCACTCATTATTGAGTGTGTGCAAACATTTTAATAGTCTGACTAGTCTATATTTCCAAGTAATTTTACTTTAATTCACTGGCATTTTCAAATGGAACAGGAAATCAGAATTTTTACTGAATTGGGAATTAAAACTCTTTCCACTGTAATCAGCACCGCTGTCATTTTGTTATCTGCTCTGTTCTCGTGTGGTTTTAGCAGCGTGCTGGTGTCCTTGTTGCTGTGCTATCCTCGTGATAACACTCCCAGCGGTTTCAGTTGCCCCAAAATGTTCAAGTGTGTGTGGTTTGTGTGCATGTCTTCTAAACGCAGTCACACACAAAGACACACAGACACAGACACACACACACACACACACACACTCTCAGATGTGGATAAATGACATCAACTTGGTTCATACGCTGGGCCTCATCAGACACTAAACTCCCAGGAAAATGAACCATCATTACAGAGAGAGAGAAATATATCATTGGTCCTGGGATGTTGGTAGACGGGAGAAATAAGTACAAGCATAATTATGATAATGAGAGGACGACAGCAGGGAAAAGGTAGATATTAATGATAGCTCATCACAGTCAAAGACATCAAGCACATCTCTCTCACTCTCCTTGGCTGTATGTCAGAATCAGGCCTGGGTTTTTTTTTCAGTGTATCCAAAAGCAGACACATGCCTCTAGTTCAGATTTTGTCATTCTCTTCATCCTTATTTTCTATCCATACTTTTCTCTAGCAGGTTTAAAGGGATAGTTCACTTAAAAATAAAAATTCTGTCATCATTTACTCACCCTCATGTCGTTCAAACCGGAGTTTCTTTCTTCTGCTGAACACAAAAGATGATATTTTGAATAATGTGGGTAACCAAAAAGCTGACAGTAGCATTGACTCTCATAGTATTTTTTTTCCTCCATACTATGGAAGACAATGGCTGCTGTCAACTGTTTGGTTACCAACCTGAGGGAGAGTAAATGATGACAGAATTTTTATCTCTCTAACTCTATATATATATTAGCATAAATTTCTTTAAAAAGTTACATTGAAAAATTACAATTAATTTCAGAAATTCATAGTATTTGTTGCATATTATGTATTTTGTGGTAATGGATCGTATAAAATCCAAAAATGTTGTTTATTTACAGCTTTAAATTAGATTTTGAAAGTGGTCTCGACTCACTGTATATATTAAAGAACTGTGATTGCAGCACAGAGGGGAAGGATGTGGAGGTGGATGTTTTTTTCCTCTTAACAAGCATTTCATTCATTAGAACATGGGAACAGGAGGGATGCAATTTAGCCCATGTGCCTTTGTTCTGTAAAAATGAAACACTGTGAAACATAACTGGGAACAGCCTCAGAGGAAAACATACACACACACACACAGAGAAAATACTCTGCTGGGCAGCTAAAACATAAATATCAGTTCAGGTTGAGGGGGGTTGGACTGGACTAGTACAGCTTTTATTTTCCAGGTGTTTTGTGTGGCTATATCTGTGTAATGTCAGTTCAGAGATCCAAAACATTTCTGAGGATGAGAGAGAGGGAGGAAGAGGAGATCCGGCTCATAAGCACCTCAGTAGTTCTGGAGAACATCCAGGGCCAGAGAGACTCAGAGGGTACTCGGTCTCCTCACCGTCTTGGAATGCTTGAAGCCGAAAAGGGGAGGAGGGTCACGGTTGTGTTAAATTCAGACCCAAGGCCTCATTTTGGAAAGAAGCCACCCGAGCATGTAACCATCCAACCTGCACGCATCCCAGTGGTCTGCACGGGCTCCTACTTTAGCTAATTAGCAAGCCTGCTGCTTTTTCTCATGCCTGCTTTTCCAGCACTCTCCCTATCCCTTGATTTTTTCAGCCTACGAGGCTTTCAGGGAGGACACTAACAGACAGAACCTGGGCTAATGAAGAAAAGAGTAAGGCCTTGATGATCATAGGGGGCTCATGAATTATAACTTGGTAAATCCTTTGTTTGAGCTCATTTCGTTTGGTTTTGTTACTATCATGTGATAGTTACTGATGTTTTCCCTGAGCCTGGAATTTAGTAACTGAGCCTTTGTGGACATGATGAATCATAGTCTTAGGAAAAGGACCAAAGTAGATACTGTCTACACCATCACAGCAGGAGCTCACTGTAAAAAAAGGTGATCAGAACGGAATGTTAACCTACTGTTAACTATTTAAGGTGCAGTATAATAGCATGTGGAAACAATTCACCTTATGTAACGATAAGCATTTCAAACATTACTATGCTATTTGGTTTCGGATGGAGGGATGCAATTTAGCCCATGTGCCTTTGTTCTGTAAAAATGAAACACTGTGAAACATAACTGGGAACAGCCTCAGAGGAAAACATACACACACACACACACAGAGAGAAAATACTCTGCTGGGCAGCTAAAACATAAATATCAGTTCAGGTTGAGGGGGGTTGGACTGGACTATAGTATAGCTTTTATTTTCCAGGTGTTTTGTGTGGCTATATCTGTGTACTGTCAGTTCAGAGATCCAAAACATTTCTGAGGATAAGAGAGAGGGAGGAAGAGGAGATCCGGCTCATAAGCACCTCAGTAGTTCTGGAGAACATCCAGGGCCAGAGAGACTCAGAGGGTACTCGGTCTCCTCACCGTCTTGGAATGCTTGAAGCCGAAAAGGGGAGGAGGGTCACGGTTGTGTTAAATTCAGACCCAAGGCCTCATTTTGG